AGTATCTAACAGAAGCTGAGTATTGGTATATTTCCCTCAAAAAGTTAAAATATTTTTCAAAGCCTCTGAATTAAGTGTTCTGGGTTTCTGGGTGCCGTGGTGCACATTCTGAGAGCACAGGTGCCTTGGGTATTTGGCGGAAATAAAAGCATTTTCTTTTCTTTTCTTTTTTTTTTTTTTTGGAGATGGAGTCTTGCTCTGTCACCCAGGATGGAGTGCAATGGTGGTATCTCAGCTTACTGCAATTTCCACCTCCCAAGTTCAAGCCATTCTCCTGCCTCAGCCTCCCAAATAGCTGGGACTACAGGTGCATGCTGCCATGCCTGGTTAATTTTTTGTATTTTTTTAGTAGAGATGGGATTTTACCATATTGCCCAGGCTTGGTCTCAAACTCCTGAGCTCAGGCAATCTGCCCGCTGTGGCTTCCCAAAGTGCTAGGATTACAGGCATGAGCCACTGTGCCCGGCCAAAGCATTTTCATGTTAGGAGAGAACATGTTTGTATAAGGGAGAGTGAGAGGAAATGAAGCTAAACTCTTAGGCAGGGGTAACTTATGCAAGACATTGTCTGCCATGTTAAAGTTTTATCCAAGCCAATGGATCACCAGGAATGCATGGTCTTAGTATCAGGAAATGTACAGTATAACTTGAAAGACAGATACGTGTACATATATACATACATATACATATGTATCTACAATACATTGTAATTATTCCCCTGAGGAAAAATATATACTAAATGATTGATTTTTGACTTGGGAGGAGGTTAGAAAAAGCATTATAAAATAGAGAATGTACAGGTTGGTCCCTAAAGAATGAAGAACAGTTGACCAGAAAAAGATAGAGTCAACTACAAAAGCAAATCAACAGATGTGATAGTGCATGGCATAATCGTCAACTGCACAGGGCTGGTATGGCCAATGAATAAAAATTGTAGCAGAAGACAATGAAAAGTTTCCCTGGGGCCCACTGTGAGTAGTTTTGAATGCAATACTGTGGAGTTTAGACTTTCTTCCAATAACTATATGGAGCTGTCAAAGATTTCTAAGAGGTGACTGATTTTATTAGTTTTGTGTTCTAGAAAGACAAATCTAGCTGCATGCAGATTGACTGGGAGACTGGCTAGAAAGATGGTTGTATTGGTTAGCTAGTGCTACACTAATGCTGCATAACAAACCACTCCAAAAGTAAGTGTGTTTCTCTGAGCATTTCTCATTCATGGGTCTGTGGGTTGGCTGCAACTCAGCTGGGGTAGGCTGGAATCCAGGCTCTAGGCTGCAGGGTAGGCCAACACATTTCTACATTAGCTTTGGACCACATACTACTTGGGGGCATGCTTTTCTCATGGTAGTTCTTAGTGCAAGAGACTAAGCCAAATGGTGCAAAGGCACATGTAAATCCTCTGCTTGTATTGTGTCTACTTTCTGTTGAACTGAGCAAGTCACATAGCTAATCCAGAGTCACTGACATGATCACTTGAGGCCAGGAGTTTGAGACAAGCCTGGCCAACATAGCAAAACCCTATCTCTACAAAAACTACAAAAATACAGGGCATGGCAGTGCATGCCTGTAATCCCAGCTACTTAGGAGGCCGAGGTGGGAGGATTGCTTGAACCTGGAAGGCAGAGGTTGCAGTGAGCCAAGACTGTGCCACTGTACTCCAGCCTGGGCCATAGAGCAAGACTCTATCTCAAAAAATAAAAACAAAAACAAAAGTCACTGATATGATATCAAAGAGAGGGAAGAATGAACAACACTCCACTAACAGTATTTCTGTACCGGCCAGGCATGGTGGCTCATGCCTATAATCCCAGCACTTTGGGAGGCTGAGGTGAGTGGATCACCTGAAGTCAGGAGTTCGAGACCAGCCTGGCCAACATGGTGAAACTCAGTCTGTACTAAAAATACAAAAATTAGCCAGGCATGGTTGTGTGTGCCTGTAATCCCAGCTACTCAGGAGGCGGAGACAGGAGAATTTCTTGAACCCAGGAGGCAGGGGTTGCAGTGAGCTGAGATCATACCACTGCACTCCAGCCTGGGTGACAAGGCAAGACTCTGTCTCCCAAAAAAAAAAAAAAAAAAAAAAGTACTGTAGTTGAAACAAGAGATAATTAGGGCAATAACGTTGGAAAGGAGGGCATAGAATCAAAGGTATTAAGCAGTAAGAGCTCCTAGGACTTAGGGTTTATTAGAAGTGAGGTTTCTATCTTGGGAATATGGATTATAAAGTAATACAGGGTGCTCAGTAGGTGCTAGGCACCATTCTAGGTGCTTACCTACACTGATTAATGCAATCCTGTCATAACAACCCTATGAGACAGAGCTACCATTATCTCCATTTTATAGATAAGGAATCCAGGCTGGGCACAGTGGCTCATGCCTGTAATCCCAGTTCTTTGGGAGGCAGAGATGGGATGACTGCTTGAGCCCAGGAGTTCAAGACTGGCCTGGGCAACGGGGTGAAATACCATCTCTGCAAAAAATAGAAAAATTAGCTGGGCGTGGTGGTGCATGTCTGCAGTCCCAGCTACTCAGGAGGCTGAGCTGGGAGGATCACCTGAGTCCAGGGACGTTGAGGCTGCAGTGAGCCGTAATTGTGCCACTGCACCCCAGCCTCCAGCTTTGGCAACAGAAAAAGACCCTGTCTCAAAAAAAGAGAGGGGAGGGGAAGGGAGGGGAGAGGAGGGGAGAGGAGAGAAGATCCAAAGCTCAATAGTTATATAACTGCCTGAGATTAAAAGGCTGCTACATGGTGAAGTGTGGATTTGAATCCATGACAACTGGCTGCACAGTCCACATGGCTGGCCACAATGAACACTGTCTCTCAACTGTGCCTGTCAAAGAGTGTACTTACTACATAAGATGCATAGCAGTGCCATCTATGCCATTCCAAATGCTGATCTTGAGGCATGAAGTATGCTCTTGTAGATGCAGCTTGACCAAATTAATGGCAAATTATTTGCAAAGCTACAATAATCCAAAGTAGGATAAACCAAGAAAAGTCCACAGGCTAACAACACATGAGGCCTACTGTCATAAGTTGCAGTGGAAAGGCAGGCTAGAGGGAGCAACATCTTCCACATCACCAATATTTCTGCAGGGCCTGCCAGTGTGGGAGGAGATCAGGAGTAATCTCAGAGATAAAACCTTCAGACTGGAGCCTGCTGGCATCATAGAAAACTAAGGGATTAAAATCTGTCTCCACCGAAGGGGACAGTGCATTTAGAGGAAGCAGTAATGTCTGGAATGAAGGATGGAAGATTGAGTAAACTATGATTGGGTTAAAAGGTAGAAAGAAGTGAGGTAGAACATCCAAAGAAGGAGGGTAACTTCAACTGCTGGATTTCCATCAGGAAACCTTAGATAACCTCTAAAGGTAGTGGTGAGAATGGGGATACAAGCAGAGGGTTGTAGACGCTCAGAGGTGGAAGGTGCACAGTCCTCCTTTATACTTGAAACAGCTGTATACCCCAGATGTTGTTAGCCTGGGACTCAAGTTGGAGTTTCACAGTCAAATGCACAATTATGCATTAGTGTGTGTGCGTGTGCATGTGCATGTGTGTACATGCACGAGTATGTGTGCATGGATCTGAGCATTTTTCCAGGAAGAAAAAAATATCCATAGTGTCCATTCAATTTTCAAAGAGGCTCTTGATCCTAAAGATGTCCAGGACAACTGATCATATAACTTCCTTGAATAAACGTGGCTGGCTCCTTCCTTGGAGGGCCTGTCTTATTGCTGATTGGCTCTATTGGAACATCCTTTCTCATATCTGGCTGGTGTTTATCCTCCAGGAACTCCCACTCCCAGTCCTGGTTTGTCCTCTGGAGCAATACAGCATAAGTCTAATCCCTCTTTCTTCTTTCTAAATGGAAACTCCTTTCTCAGAGTATTTATCTATTTTTTCCTGATATGAGCTTAGTTATTAAAAGAAATCCTTGACATTTTTGATGCGTCTAAAGATTCTTATGGAGTCAGCAAATATCCTCATATTTGAAAAGTTTATGAGTTTGGCTACCTGGAGCTGAAAGGTAACCGATTCCATTAATACTTAACCCCATATAGTCTCATAGGGTGTAATTTTCATGTTTGTTAAAATATTGGAGAAAGAATATAAAATTCTGTCCTCTCTCTGTTTGGCAAATAATGCTTAATGATAGCTCCAAAGGTCTGATTTTCAGGAAAAGCAGCTTTAACAAGGGGATGTAACATTCTGATTGTAACCACAGAACTTCAGAAAATGCAAAATAAAAACAAAAGCAAGTTCACTACGTGGAAAGACTTTATATCATAGGATTGAATTTTTGTTTAAATCTATGACCTCAAACTTTTTTTTACACATTGGCTTTCTTACAAATTATACAACATAAAGCCCTTAGTAATTACGTTTTAACATATTTGTGGATTTCTCTTTCTTCTGTTTATAATCACCTTGATTTAGTTGTCATACTGGAAATCAGTGCTCCATCTCCCCAGTGCCCCCCTCCACCCCACCTTTCTTTGAGACAGAGTTTCACTCTTGTTGCCCAGGGTGGAGTGCAATGGGACAATCTTGGCTTACTGCAACCTCCGCCTCCTTCCGAGTAGCTGGGATTATAGGCATGAGCCAGAACTCCAGGCTAATTTTGTATTTTTAGTAGAAACGGAGTTTCTCCATATTGGTCAGGCTAGTCTCAAACTCCCGACCTCAGGTGATCCACCAGCCTTGGCCTCCCAAAGTGCTGGGATTACAGGCGTGAGTCACTGCGCCTGGCCTCCATCTCCTTATGTAGTATGAGGTCTGCTTCAGTTGAAGCCAACTGCTAATTCAGCTATCTGGAGCAGCCATAGCAGGTAAATCACCAAATGTTTGTTTATGTAAGATGAGAAGAAACAAATGCTCATTAATTCAGTGAGTATGTATTGAAAACTGTGTACAAAGCATACAAAGTACAAGGAGTCAAAGTGTTACCAGTGGATGGTGTCCAGGCAAAATAATTGGACAAAACACACAAAGCAAGGAAAAAATGAAGCAAGGAAAATACAGATATATTGAAATGAAAGTACATTCCACATACTGAGACAGTCCTGAGCAAGCTGCTCAAGAGTGCTGGTTACAGACTTTTCCAGGGTTTAAATACCCTCCGGAGGTTTCCCATTGGTTACTTGGTTTACACCCTATGTAAACGAAATAGTGGCCTGCAATCAGCCTGATTGGTTGCAGAAGGTGACCAATCAGAGGCTGAGGTGAAGTTACAAAGGTACACATGAAGACTTGGCCTGCCACCAGTCTGATTGCTGATTGGTTGCAGGAGGGGTCCAATCACAGGTACTTTCATTTTTCATCTGCAATGCAGAAAAGGGGGTTGTGCAAATGGAGTAGCCTCTGATCCTTTTGTTACTTGAGTGTGGAGAGGTGGGATTTTCCCTTTTGATTCAGTTCTAGGAAGTCAGTGCAAATCCATCTTAGGTTCCCTGCCTCCAGACCCTATTCTCTTGCCTCAAAAGAACTTACAGTGTAGATTAGTACCCAAGTTAAGGCAGATACTTAAATTGTTGTAGAGGTAAAATAACACAACAAAGAATATAGTTGAAACACCAACAATGTATATAAAACAATCATACAGTATATACCAATTAATTAAAGCAGAAGGAGAGAAGAGAGGAAACAAAGAACAGATGAGAACAATTAGGAAACAAAGCAGTGCAATGTTAGATTTAACCCCAATATTCATAATCACATAAATTATAACTTGTCTAACCCAATTGACAAAAAAAAAAAGATTGTCAGATTGAAAATTAAAGTAAGACCCAATAATATGTTGACTAAAAGAAACCACCTTTTTGTGGAAGGGGGGAGGATTTTTAAATGGACAAATGAAAATTGTATACATTTATGGTGTACAACATGATATTTGGAAATATGTATACATTGTGAAATGACTAAATCAAACTAATTAATAGATGCATTACCTCACATGCTTTTTTTTGTGGTGAGAATACTTAAAATCTATTCTCTTAGCAATTTTCAAGTACAGGTATATCTTATTTTATTGTTCTTTTTTGTTTTTTGGGTTGTTGTTGTTTTTTGAGACAGAGTCTTGCTCTGTCACCCAGGCTGCAGTGCAGTGGGGCAATCTCAGTGCACTACAACCTCCACCTCCTGGGTTCATGCAATTCTCCTGCCTCAGCCTCCCAAGTAACTCGGATTACAGGCACCCACTATCATGCCTAGCTAATTTCTGTAGTTTTAGGAGAAAGAGTTTTTTGCCATGTTGGCCAGGCTGTCTCGAACTCCTGACCTCAAGTGATCCATCTGTCTTCACCTCTCAAAGTGTTGGGATTACAGGTGTGAGCCACCACACCTAGCCTATTGTGCTTTTTTAAATTGCACTTTGCAGATCTTGAGGGTTTTTTTCAAACTGAAGTTTTGTGGCAACCTTATATCAAGCAAGCCTATAAGTGTCTTCCAATTGCATGTGCTCACTTTATGTTTCTGTGTCACATTTTGGTAATTCTTGCTATATTTCAAACTTTTATATTGTTATAACATCTGTTATAACATAGCTGTGGTTAGTGATCTTTGATTTGACAATTGTAATTCTTTTGAGGACCATGAACCATACCCATACAAAGTGGCAATCTTAAATGTGTGTGCTCTGACTACCCCACCAAATAGCTGTTCTCTGTTTTTCTTCTTCTCCTTGGGCCTCTCTATTCCCCAAGACAAAATATTAAAATTAGACCAATTAATAATCCGATAATGTGGCTGGGTGCAGTGCCTCATGCCTGTAATCCCAGCACTATGGGAGGCCGAGGTAGGGGGGATCACTTGCAGTCAGGAGTTTGAGACCAGCTTGGCCAACATGGTGAAACCCCATCTCTACTGAAAAATACAAAAATAGCTGGGCATGGTGGCATGTACCTGTAATCCCAGCTACTCGGGAGGCTGAGGCAGGAGAATCACGTGAACCTGGGAGGTGGAGGTTGCAGTCAGCTGAGATTGCGCCACTGCGCTGGAGCCCAGGTGATAGAGTGAGACTGTATCTCAAAAATATAAATAAAATAGATAAAATTCTATAGTGGTTTCTAAGTGTTCAAATAAAAGGAATAGTTACATGTCTCTCACTTTAAATCAAAAGCTGGCGATGATTGAGCTTAGTGAGGAAACATGTCCAAAACTGAGATAGGCTGAAAGGTATGTCTCCCAGGCTAAAGAGCAGGACACAATCATAGCTCATTGTAACCTCAAACTTCTGGGCTCAAGTGATCCTCCTGTCTCAGTCTTCCAAGTAGCTGGGATTACATGACCCATGCCACTGTGCCTAGCTAATTAAAAAAAAATTTTTTTTTTGTAGAGAGAGAGTCTTGTTATGTTGCCTAGGCTGGCCCAGTCTGGTCTTGAACTCCTGGCCTCAAGTGATCTTCTTGCCTTGGTCTCCCAAGTCCTGGGATTACAGTATGAGCCACTGCACCCGGTCAAGGAGAAGTCCTTAAAGGAATTTTAAAGTGCTACTCCAGTGAACACATGAATAATATGAAAGCAAAACAGCCTTATCACTGATCTGGAGAAAGTATCAGTGGTCTGAATGAAAGATCAAACCAGCCACAACGTTCCCTTAAACCAAAACCCAATCTAGAGCAAGGCAATAACTTTCTTCAATTCAGTGAAGGCTGAAGGAGGTGAGGAAGCTGCAGAAGAAAAGTTGGAAGCCAGCAGAGGTTGGTTCATGAGGTTTATAGAAAGAAGCCAAGAAACCATCTCCAGAACATGACAGTACAAGGTGAAGGAGCAAGTGCCAACGGAGACGCTGCAGTAAGTTATCCAGAAGATCTAGTTAAGATCATTAATTGATGAAAGTGGCCACTCTAAGCAACAGATTTTCAGTGTAGAGAAAAAGCCTTCTATTGGAAGAAGATACCATCTTAGCTAGGTGTTTCATAGCTAAAGAGAAGTCAATGCCTGGCTTCAAAGTTTCAAAGGATAGGCTGACTCTCGTGTTAGGAGGTAATGCAGCTGGTGACTCTAAGTTGAAGCCAATTCTCACTGACTATTCTGAAAATCCTAGGCCCCTTAAGAATGATGCTAAATCTACTCTGCCTGTGCTCTATACATGGAACAACAAAACCTAGATAACAGCACATCTGTTGACAGCTTGGTTGATTAAATATGTTAAGCTCACTGTTGAGACCTACTGCTCAAAAAAAAAAAAAATCCTTTCAATATATTACCACTTGTTGACAATATACCTGTTCACCCAAGAGCTCTGATGGAGATGCATAAGGAAATTAATGTTGTTTACATGCCCACTAACACAACATCCATTCTGTAGTCTGTAGATCAAAGAGTAATTTCAATTTTCAAGTCACATCATTTAAGAAGTACATTTTGTAAGACTATGGCAGCCATGTGTAATGATTCCTCTGATAGATCTGGATTTGGGAAAGGAAATAGAAAGCCTTCTGGAAGGGATTCACCATTCAAAAAGCCATTAACAACATCTATAATTCAGTGGAGAAGGTCAAAATATCAACATCAACGGGACTGGGAAAAAGTTTATTCCAGCCTTCATGGATGACTTTGAGGGGCTCATGACCTCAGTGGAGGAAGTAACTGGAAATGTGGTACTAGAACTAGAATAACTAGAGCCTGAAGACGTGACTGAATTGTTGTAGTCTCTTGATAAAACTTAAACAGATGAGAAGTTACTTTTTATGGATGAGTAAAGCAAGTGGTTTCCTGTGATGGAATCTACTCCTGATGAAGATGCCTATAAGCTTTGTAGAAATGACAGCAAAGTATTTAGAATATTCTGTAAGATTAATTAACAAAGTAGCAGCAGGATTTGAGAGGACTGACTCAATTTTGAAAGATTTGAGAGGACTGACTCAATTTTGAAACAAGTTCTACTGTAGGTAATATGCTATCAAACAGCACTGCACACTACAGGGAAATCTTTCACGAAAGGAAGAGTTGATGGATGTAGTAAACTTCACTGTTGTCTTATTTTAAGAAATTGCCACAGTCACACTGGCCTTCAGCAACCACCATCCTGATCAGTCAGCAGCCAGCAACATTGAAGCATAACTCTGAACCAGCAAAAAGATGATGACTTGCTGCAGACTCAGATGATGGTTAGCACTTTTTAGGCGTGAAGTATTTTCAAACTATGGTATGTACATTTTTTAGACATAATGCTATTGCACACTTTAATAGGACTACATTCTAGTATAAGCATAATTTTTATGTACACTGGGAAACCAAAAAGTTTGTGTGACTTACATTCCCATGATATTTGCAATATCTTGAAGGTATGCCTGTATACAATACATTGTTACTAACTATTGTCACCATGATATATAATAGATTTATGGAACAATTCTTCCTGCCTAACTGACATTTTATATCCTTTGACCAACATCTCCCTAATCCCCTTATTCACAGCCTTTGATAACCACAATTTTACTCTTTACTTTTATGAGGCTGACTTTATTAGATTTCACATATTACTGAGATCATATAGTATTTGTCTTTTTGTGTTTGGCTTATTTCACTGAACAAAATGTCCTCCAGGTTTATCTGTGTTGTTGCAAATGATGGGACTTCCTTCTTTTTTAAGGCTGAATAAAAAGACCAAATTTTCTTAATCCATTTACCCATTGATAGACACTTAGGTGCATTTTATATCTTGGCTATTGTGAATAATGCTGCAATGAACAAGGGAGTGCAGTATCACTTCAGTGTACTGATTTTTCCTTTGGATATATACCCAGTCGTAGGATTGCTGGATCATATGGTAGTTTTATTTTGAATTTTTTGAGGAGCCACCATACTGTTTTCCATAATGGTTATACTAATTTACATTTCTACTAACAGTGTGCATGG